TGGGGTTCCTGCTGGAGCTGGGGTTCCTGCAGGATTGGGGTTCCTGCAGGACTGGGGTTCCTGCTGGAGCTGGGGTTCCTGCAGGATTGGGGTTCCTGCAGGACTGGGGTTCCTGCTGGAGCTGGGGTTCCTGTTGGAGCTGGGGTTCCTGCAGGATTGGGGTTCCTGCTGGAGCTCCTCTGTGTCTCACACATCCAGCCCTGTCCACTTCCAGCACCGATGGAATTGTTTCCTGGCACAGCCGCTCTGATATCCTGAATTATTTTTTATTTTTTGTCCTTTCCCCGGTGGTTTTGCTCACGTTTGGGCTCTGCCACTGGAATAAACCCCTCTTTTTTTTTTTTTTTTGTGCCCAGATCTACTGTCAGAACCTGTGTCTGCTGGCAAAGCTTTTCCTGGACCACAAAACCCTTTATTACGACGTGGAGCCCTTCCTGTTCTACGTCATGACAGAGGCCGACAACACCGGCTGCCACCTGATCGGGTATTTCTCCAAGGTCAGCGGCAAACCCGCACCTCCCTCCTCAATAAATGGGGATTCCAGCCCTGGATCCCTTCTGCAGCCTCAGCATTCGCTGCTTTTGGGAGCTGTGTTTGCTGAGGGGCTGCAGGTGCCGTGCTGCCCCCAGAAATCCCAAACCAGCTCCAAGGGATTGGTGCTGCCCCGAAGCAGAGTGGTGTCTCCGTCAGGGACAAGGAAATCGGGAGGGAACGTGGGGGAAAAACACATTAAAATAAATATTAAATATAATTTGTGGGGTGTTTTTAATGCCAAAACGCTTAAAGGAATAAAAACTCTTGAGTTCTGCCCCTTCTCTCTGCCCATTTCCAGGAGAAGAATTCCTTCCTCAACTACAACGTGTCCTGCATCCTGACCATGCCCCAGTACATGAGACAGGGCTATGGCAAAATGCTCATTGACTTCAGTAAGTGCTGGGGGCGAGATTCCAGGGGAAAATTCCTCCAGGAAACCTCCCCTGCCCTCTGCTGCGGGGGCAGCTCTCAGCCTGGCTCGTTCTGAGGGGTCTGGGTGGTTTTTAACCTTTTTTAGGCTATTTGCTGTCGAAGGTGGAGGAGAAGGTGGGGTCCCCCGAGCGTCCCCTGTCCGACCTGGGCCTGATCAGCTACAGGAGCTACTGGAAGGAAGTTCTGCTGCGCTACCTGCACAACTTCCAGGGCAAGGAGATCTCCATCAAAGGTCAGGGCTTCTTCTGGGAGCATCCCTGGCCCGCCTCACCCACCCCAAGAGTTTGTGGGATGTTCCTGTGGTTGGGAAGGGCTCCTTCCCACCCCTGACACCAGCAAAGATGGATTTTTTGAAATTTTTTTGAGGTTTTTTTGGAAGGATGAATTGGCTGTTTTGTGAAAAAAAAAACAAACAAACAAGAGTTTTGTAAAGGTTCAGCAAAAAGCTTCATCCAGCTGTGTATTAAAGTGTTAATTTTAACAAGAAACACAGCTCCAGCAGCCAATATTGAGAATATTTGGCCTTCTTTTAATGGCATTTCTCTGCTGGTGGCACGTGGGAGGACGTGGAATTTCCTGGGGATGTGAGCCACCCTGGAAAAGCAGGATTGCATCTTCTTCCAGAGGATTTCCTCCAGATCCCAAAGCCCTGCAGTGCTGCCTGTGCCTGCCCCACGTTTCTGAGGGGTTGCCCCACGTTTCTGAGGGGTTGCCCCACGTTTCTGAGGGGTTGCCCCACGTTTCTGAGAGGCTGCCCCACATTTCTGCGGGGTTGCCCCACGTTTCTGCGGGGTTGCCCCACATTTCTGAGCGGCTGCCCCACGTTTCTGCGGGGTTGCCCCATGTTTCTGAGGGGTTGCCCCACGTTTCTGCGGGGTTGCCCCTCGTTTCTGAGGGGTTGCCCCACATTTCTGCGGGGTTGCCCCTCGTTTCTGCGGGGTTGCCCCTCGTTTCTGAGCGGCTGCCCCGAGCCGTGCCGGGTGCCCGGGGGCCGGGGGCAGCCTGGGGGCTCTGGGTGGGTCGTGAGCCGGGCTGTGGTTGCAGAGATCAGCCAGGAGACCGCTGTGAACCCCGTGGACATCGTCAGCACCCTGCAGGCCCTGCAGATGCTCAAGTACTGGAAGGGCAAACACCTGGTCCTCAAGAGGCAGGTGAGCCTGGGGGGGATCTCCTTCCTCCTCGGGGCTTCCTTGGGAGCCTGCTCCTCCTCCTCATCTCCAGCTGGGGCAGGAGGTGGGCTGTCCTTCTGTCCTGCTGTCCTTCTGCTGTCCTGCTGTCCTTCTGTCCTGCTGTCCTGCTGTCCTGCTGTCCTGCTGTCCTGCTGTCCTTCTGTCCTGCTGTCCTGCTGTCCTGCTGTCCTGCTGTCCTTCTGTCCTTCTGTCCTGCTGTCCTGCTGTCCTGCTGTCCTTCTGTCCTTCTGTCCTGCTGTCCTTCTGTCCTTCTGTCCTGCTGTCCTTCTGTCCTGCTGTCCCCCTGCTGTCCTTCTGTCCTTCTGCTGTCCTTCTGTCCTCCTGCTGTTGTGTTGGTGGTATTTTGCTGTTCCTGTCTTGGGATTTTGGTGTTGTTTTGGTGTTGTTTTGGTGTTCCTGTGCTGTTCCTGTGCTGTTCCTTTGCTGGTGTTTTGGTGTTGTTTTGGTGTTGTTTTGGTGTTGTTTTGCTGTTCCTTTGCTGTTCCTTTGCTGGTGTTTTGCTGGTGTTTTGGTGTTGTTTTGGTGTCGTTTTGGTGTTGTTTTTCTGTTCCTGTGCTGTTCCTGTGCCGTTCCTTTGTGGCATTCACAGCTGATCCACCCTGCCCTCGGTGGCCGTGTCCCGCGGGCGATTCCCGCCGGGATCAGCCCTGAGCCGCCCCTCCTGCTCTCCCCAGGACCTGATCGACGAGTGGATCGCCAAGGAGGCCAAGAGATCCAACAGCAACAAGACCATGGATCCCAGCTGCCTCAAGTGGACCCCTCCCAAGGGCACCTAAGCGTCCCCAGGGCCGGGCTCGGTGCCACCCTGCCCGGCGTCCCCACAGTTCTGAGGAACTCGGATGTTTCGGCCTCAGTGAGGCCGTGTGAGGACTGGAAGTGTCTGGGAGCCCCAGGGAGCCGAGGAGCTCCGATTGCTGGGCCTGTCCCTGCTGTCCCTGCTGTCCTGCTCCATCCTCCTGTCCCTCCTGCAGCCCCCCGGGCTCAGCCGGCTGCAGACGCTTCCCTGGAGCTGCTCCCGTCCCGTTCCACGTCCCAGATAGCTTCAGTGGGATCGTGTCCCCCTCTTGCAGCAGTTTTCCCTCGGATCCAGCAGATCTTCGCTTAGTTCCTGTTGTACAGCCAGGATTGCACCCGAGGCAGGGACGGGGTGTTCCTGTCACCCCTCCCGGAGCCACCGCAGCCCTGCTGGAAGCGCCTCTGGATTAGAATTCCTGTTTTTTCCTGGTGTGTATCTCGTGGAATTGCTGAGTTCCTGTACATAAACAACCTGCTGAGTGTATTTCCCTGGAGATGTTTTACCCAGAGCAGCCTTCCTGGAATTGCAGGTCCCTTTTTACTGGAGTTTTTTATCCCCTCCAGGCTGAAGGAATCCAAACTTTGGCCTTCTCCAAAGAGCCACAGGAACTCCCAGCACCAGTTCCAGGGAGGGATGGATGGATGGATTCCCTGGCAAAGCCAAAAAAAAAAAAAAGCTTTGATTCCTCCCTGCCATCAGCAGAAATATCCTGGAATGGCCTCCCAGTGACACCAGTGTCCTCCAGCCACCCGTCCCCGCGAGGCTGCAGGGTCACCGACAGAGGGGACAGCCCTGGGACGGGGCTGGCAGCATCCCAGGCTGGATTCCCCGATCCCAGTGCTGGATTCCCCGATCCCAGTGCTGATTTCAGTGATCCCAGTGCTGGATTCCCTGATCCCAGTGCTGGATTCCCCGATCCCAGTGCTGATTTCAGTGATCCCAGTGCTGGATTCCCCGATCCCAGTGCTGATTTCAGTGATCCCAGTGCTGGATTCCCTGATCCCAGGCTGGATTCCCCGATCCCAGTGCTGATTTCAGTGATCCCAGGCTGGATTCCCTGATCCCAGGCTGGATTCCCCAATCCCAGTGCTGGATTCCCCGATCCCAGTGCTGATTTCAGTGATCCCAGGCTGGATTCCCTGATCCCAGTGCTGATTTCAGTGATCCCAGTGCTGGATTCCCCGATCCCAGTGCTGGATTCCCTGATCCCAGTGCTGGATTCCCCGATCCCAGGCTGGATTCCCTGATCCCAGTGCTGATTTCAGTGATCCCAGTGCTGGATTCCCCGATCCCAGTGCTGGATTCCCCGATCCCAGTGCTGGATTCCCCGATCCCAGTGATTGCCCCCAGAGCAGGGTGTGGGCTGAGGCGCTCCTGGGAAGGTGGGAGCCGTTCCCGTTAACCACTGCCCCATCCCGGCTGGAAAAGTTCCCTGCTGCTCCTCTGGTTCCCCACCCTTCTCCTGGAACCCCAAATCCCCCCCAGATCCCCTCGGTGCTCGCTGTGGACCCCGTGGGCATCACTGACCCCCTCCCCAGCTGCAGATTCCCGGGATTGTCTGGGATTTCCCGGGCAGTGGCTCTGGAGCAGGGAATGGGAGAGGCCGTTCTGTTCCCATCCCCGCTCCTCAATAAACGCATGATCCCTGCTCCAAATCCCTGGATTTGTGCTTCCCCTGGGTCCCAAGGGCTCCTCCAGAACCCCTGAAACCCCTGGGGATTTTAGGGTTGTGACTGGAGCAGCCTCGGGCTGGAGTTATCCCTGGATATCCAGCTCTGGACAGTTCCGGTGCTTCCTAAAGCCTTTCCATGGAGGAATTCTTCCTGATGTCCGTCCTCAACCTCCCTGGCACAACCCGAGGCGGTTGTTGGGACAAGAAGGGAAAGCTGCTGAGGGAAAATTCCCCGAGATCTCCCTGGATTTCCAGGAGCTGCCCTGTGCTCCCTGATCCTTCTCCCAGTGGAATTCCTTTTGCCGGGATGCTTTGGGGCAGGATGTGGTGGCGTGGCCGGGAGGGAGCAGGGGCCGATATTCCCAGAAGGAGCAGGGGGAAGCAGGAGGAGACGGGATCTAAATCCATCTGGTGACTTCAGCTCTTGCTATTGTGACCCTCAATCCACGGGGACAATCCCTGGGCCCCCCTCCCTCGCCGTCCCAAAGCCACGGAAAGATCTGGAACGGGCTCTCCGTGCGGCTCCCGGGCCAGGGAAGAGCATTTCTATTTCTGGGCTCATTCCCTGTAATTATCTCCGTCTTTCCTGCCCTCCCCAGCCCGGCCCACGCGGCCCCGAAACCGCCAGAGGTGCAGGGAAAAAACGGGAGAGGGAAAAGAAAACATCCCCAGGAAACCGCGGATGCCAAGGGCTCCTGCGGCTTTCCTGCCCCCCGGAGCCGCCAGGCTGGCCCTCACCCCTCCCTGCGCTTCCAGGGAATTCGGGAGCTGGAATGTTCCTGAGCTCTGGAATATTCCCAGGCTGTGGATGCCCGGTCCATTCCCACCCCCTGCCGAGGGCAGGATGTGCCCCAAGCCCCATCCTTGGACGCTTCAGGGATGGAGAATCCACGTTTTCCCTGGAGAAGCCATCCCAGCCCCTCGTCGCCGCCTGCTCTTCCCAGTGCTTTGGCACACCTGGAACATCCTTTCCTGACCTGAGCAGGGAACTGGGAGCTGCTCCCGCCTCTGGAGACCCTGCCTGACCCGGGAGCAGCTGGGGAGGAGCAGGATCCCAGAAAAACCGGGATTCTGGGCAATTCCAGCGAGTTCCTCAGGAGCCGAGCTCCCCGGGGAGATGTCAGAGAGGGAAAACCTTCCCGAGGTTTTCCAGCAGGACCGGGATTGCCGGGAAGGGCAGCAGAGGGTGCTGCTTCCCAGGGCAAGGGCAGGAAACTCCCGGGAGCTCGCGGTGCCTTTTCCCTGGGAATGCATCCCAGATCCCTGGGCAGAAGGAGAGGGGGATTGGGGACCTGGGACAATTCCTGAGCTGCTCGGGAGCCGTTCCCGGCTCGGCAGGCTGGGATCAGGGAATCGTCAGGGACTCATGGAATCCCAGCCTGGATTGGGTTGGAAGGAGCTCAAAGCCCCTGTCCCGGGATGATCCCTGCGCTTCCCTGCCAGCCCAGAACATTCCATGGGCTGTGTCCTCCTCATTCCCCTTCCCCGCCCTGCTCGGGGTCCAGCTGGGACAGGGAATTCCTCTCCAGTGCCGGGCTGGGATTGGGATGGGAATGCTGTGGATAACGCAGCCATGGCTGGGATTTATCCAAACTCTGGGATTCTTTTTTTCCCATTTTTTTTGTGCCTCCTGCTCCTCCAGTGAGGAGTAACCAAAAAAATAAAAGCGGGACAGGCGATCCCGATATCCCGGATCCCAAAAACCATTCCAGGGTTGATCCGGGAGAGGATTCTGTGCACAGAGCCCCCGACACGGTTCGGGCAGAGCTGGATTCTCCAGGGGAGCTCTCCCGGAGGAGCCGGCTGGATCAGGAGGTTTTCCCGGTGATTCACCGGGAGCTGCTGCTCCCCGTGAGTCACTGCCGAGGGGGCGGGATGGAGACAGGGATGGAGACAGGGATGGAGACAGGGATGGAGACAGGGATGGAGACAGGGATGGAGACAGGGATGGAGACAGGGATGGAGACAGGGATCCAGGGATGGAGACAGGGATGGATCCAGGGATGGAGACAGGGATCCAGGGATGGAGACAGGGATCCAGGGATGGAGACAGGGATGGATCCAGGGATGGAGACAGGGATCCAGGGATGGAGACAGGGATCCAGGGATGGAGACAGGGATGGATCCAGGGATGGAGACAGGGATCCAGGGATGGAGACAGGGATCCAGGGATGGAGACAGGGATGGAGACAGGGATGGAGACAGGGATCCAGGGATGGAGACAGGGATCCAGGGATGGAGACAGGGATGGAGACAGGGATGGAGACAGGGATCCAGGGATGGAGACAGGGATCCAGGGATGGAGACAGGGATGGAGGCAGGGATGGAGACAGGGATGGAGACAGGGATCCAGGGATGGATCCAGGGATGGATCCAGGGATGGATCCAGGGATCCAGGGATGGATCCTCATCCCAAACTGATAACAGGAATCGCTGCTGTGGCTCCGGGGCTCCATCCCAGTGGGAGAAGAAAGGAATGGGAATTTGCAGGGAAAGGGTCTCAGGATGAGTTTTTCCACCAAAAAAGGCAGGCCTGCCCAGGGCTCCCTCCTTTCCCAACATCCCCGGGAATTCCCGCAGCCGCTCCAGGGATTTGGGGGCTCAGGGCATGGAGGATCTTCCCGAAATGTTCCTCCTGTCGGTTCCTCAGGAGCAGAGCCGGAGCTGCCGCTGCCCAGCCGGGCTCCAGCCGCGTCCCTCCCCTCTGTAATTACGGGATATTTTTGGTGTCCCTTCCTCTCCCTGTTCCGGGCCCGCGGCCCCCGCAGGATGAGCCGGGGAAGGTGCCGGGCTCGGGAAGCAGCAATTCCCGAGGTTCCCAAAGGGCCGGGAGGAGCTGGAGCCGGCTGGCAGCGATCCCAGTGCTCCCAGTGCTCCCAGCGCTGCCCAGGCTGGGGGGATCGGGGGGATCTGGGGGGCTGTGCTCCCCGTTCTGCCCCCCGGGATCACATTCCCGGCTGGCTGTCCCTATAAAACTGGATTTGATGCTGGGGCTCCGTTCCCAGAGCTCCGCTGGGACTGGGATTTCTCCTGGTTTAAAGCTTCTCTTCCCCGAAATCCTTTCTTCAAACCCTTTTAATTTTATTTTTGTATTCACAAAATCGGGGTTTTCCCACTGAACAAAACTCGGGATTTGGCTGGAGCTGCCTTAGGGATAACAGCGTTCATTCCCTCGGGAGCAGGTTTGGAACCTTGGATCCGGGGCTGGAAAAGCAGCAGGGAGGCTCCTGGCTCCGGGAATTCCCGCCGGGAATGCTCGGCCTGAGCCAGCCCCGCACTCCCAGCCCGGGTCCGAGGAGCCCCGGGAGCCTCTGGCCCATCCCGGCCGATCCCGCCCCGCTCCAGGCTCCGGGAGCCGCCTCTGGAGCGGAATTCCCAGCGCAGCTGCTTCCAGCTGCGGCCGCGACACCTGAAAGGAGCGCGGGGTTAAATTTATCCGGGCAGGAAAAGCCTTTCATCCTCCTGCTGCTCATCCCGGATCCAAAGGCACCGGGAAAGCGCAATTCCCGCTGGGATCGGGCTGGGAGCCACAGCCGGGCTGGAAACAGGGACAGGGACACAGGGACAGGGACACAGGGACAGATGGACACAGGGACAGGGACAGAGGGACACAGGGACAGATGGACACAGGGACAGGGACAGATGGACACAGGGACAGATGGACACAGGGACAGAGGGACAGAGGGAGACAGGGACAGGGGGACAGGGGACAAGGACAGAGGGATAAGGAACAGAGGGACAGGGGACAAGGACAGGGGGACAG